GAATCTGAAACTGTGGCGCCCAAAAAAACAAACAATGCACCATCAATAACATAGAAATTAATGGTGTGCAGTGATCTCAGCACAGGTTTACCTGCATCCAACCCCAGATTTTAATGCCACTTTAATATTAGTAGGTAGGGTTCACATGACCATGACCAAGTCCAAGACCAATATTTTTGTGTACATGCCAACTTCAACATGTCATTAATTGTGTTTGTGTTCAGATATGTAGACGGTTCCGGTGCATTGGGGTTTTTCGCTAACGAGACAGTGAGTGTGGACCTCACTGATGGTCGTATGACGACACTGCACGGCGTGCTGGTCGGATGCAGTGACTCTTTCAAGGGGGATAACTTTGACAAGGGTGCCGATGGCGTTTTGGGGTTAGCCAACGGGAAGTACTCCTTTACAACAAAAGCTACTCAGTATTTCGGTGGCAAATTCTCGTATTGCCTCGTCGATCACTTGAGCCCCAAGAATGTTACTAATTATCTCGTTTTTGGTAGCAGCAAAAAGGAAACATCACACATGGGCAGAACTCGGCATACCAAATTGGAGCTAAATCTGATCCCACCGTTCTATGCTGTAAATGTTGTTGGAATCTCCGTAGGCAAGATAATGGTGAACGTTCCCGTTATGGCTTGGGACGCAACGCAAGGTGGAGGGATGATATTGGATTCAGGTATGAGCCTAACACTCCTCTCGAAACCTGCCTACATGCCCGTCATGTTTGCCCTGGAAGCCTCCCTTACGAAATACGAAAGAGTAAAGTTGGATGGGGTACCGATGGAATACTGTTTCAATTCGACTGGATTTGACAAGACAGCGGTGCCAAAATTGGTGTTTCATTTTGTGGATGGAGCTAGATTTGAGCCTTTTGTGAAGAGTTACATTATAGATGTTGCGGTTGGGGTTAAGTGCCTGGGGATTGTGTCCGGAATTTGGCCTGCATCGTCCGTTATTGGCAATATCATGCAACAAAATCACTTGTGGGAATTTGACTTGGTTGGGAAGAAGTTGGGTTTTACTCGTTCAACTTGTAGCTAGCAAGATTACAAATATTTGTTTACATGAAATTGTGGTTTCCTTTCTCCACTTATATATGTCTTGTTACATATATATATACATAGTCCCAATGCAATCAAGGGGTATTATTCTTCAATTTCCATGTAATTTGTTAATTGACTATGGTGTTTGAATCAATTCAATCTTCTAATTTTAACCATTAAATTGTTTCAGATTAGGAATTAACTAAATCTTTTGATGTAATAAATATTATTGTAAGCCTCCAAATTACACATAAATGACCAAGTGTAATCGTAGTGTGATACAAAAATATTAAGATCCATCACTACTAATAATTCTAAGTGTGAATTTGCAAAAAAAAAAAAAATTTTAACACAACTTCATTATTTATATATATTTAAAGGGTTTGTCTAACCTGTGTCCTTAAACTTTATTAAATATAAAATTTTCAAATAATTTCATACAAATTTTTATATCAAATTCATATCTGTTTATAAAGTATAAATATTATATTATATTTTCAATTTACATTTTATATTTTATTTTAATTGAATCTAACATAAAATTTTGTATAAAATTAAATAAAAATATTCTATTTAATAAATCTTAACTTGTACCTTAAAGGTACAAGTTAAAAATTTTCATATCTAAACTACTATTAAATCAACTTATGTTTCGATCTAATTGGTTTAAAATGTAAACCTTAAAAGTTATTCTAAGTACAATCAAAAACCTATGCCAAGTAGTTTTAAAAAACCTATGCCAAGTAGTTTTAAAAAAACCTACGGCAAGTATGAAGAAGAAGACAAGCGTGACTATGAAATGTGAACATAGATAAAAGGCTAACGTTAAATGCTTAATTTGGTCCCTCAACTTTAAGAAATGAATATTTTTGGTCCCTTAACAAATTTTTGCACTTTTTTGATCCCTCAACTATACGAAATGCACTCCGTTAGTCCTTCTGTTAATTTGGGCCGTTAACTCGCTTATGTGGCATTTTTTATAATTTTTTTGATGACATGGCAAAAACAAATTAAAAACTTGTCCACCTAAAATTTTTTTTTATTACAACTCAATGCCAACTCAGACTATTATTATTTATATTTTTAAAAAATAAAATAAAATAATTCTATTCCACTTTCTTCCTTTCCTTTTTTTCTTTTTCTTTCTTCCTCTTCTTCCTCGGGTCTTTCTTCCTCTTCTTCGAACGGAACCCAGCCACTGGGATCGGTGGAACCCAGCCTGGGTCCGACAGAACCCAGTGGCTGGGTTCCACCGAACCCAGCAGATCTGGGTTCTATGGAACC